TTATTACATACACATACTCAACATATAATTCCATTTATTTAGCAAGTTCACGTCTTCATCGCTTTAAGACACTGTTGCTCCCAAGGGGTTTGTTTCTTCTACCACTTTCTGGTATCCCGAATGGTGGTTTTTTGTGTCGATAGCTTCTTGTCTGCTTTGGAAAAGGGTTTTTGCATAATATCTTCATGCTTTAGCATTTTCTTGTGCTCTTTCTCTTGTAGAGAGGCATTTCCTGCACTGTAATTGGATGAAATCATTAAGCTTTATCTTGGTTAGTAAAAACCAATATACAAGCAGACAATTTTGCATACTTTGTTACAGTTTCTGAACTATTACCATGAACATGTTCTAGGACACAATATCTGCTCTATAGGCCTAAGAGTGGTTCTCAATTGGTTTTGCTTCATGACCATTTTTATATTTCACATTAACTGATGACCCAAAAAAGCAAAAAACATATTTAATAACAAGCAGTGTTTGATTGGATGCACTTCCTTTGACGTCAACAACAAAGGTTATGGGAATTAGGAGTTCCTCCTATTTAAAAGTTAATAAAGCTACTTATTTGTTATATTTGCAAAACTAAAATGAAAAGCAGGTGCTTGACCAACTGTAGAGTAGGCTTGACTCGATCCAAATCTTAAATTTAAGAAGAAAGTGCAATGCTCACTCTACAAGCTAAGCTTAATTATAGTCATTTGCATTGTTCACAACAGACCTGTGACCAATTTTTGGGTCACAAACCACCAGTTGAGAACCACTACTCTACAAGAACTAAAACCAGTTTCCTAGATCTTTTCCTAAACCTTTTTACTTCACGTTCCTTTAAGGATAATTGCATATTCTGGAGGAGACGCCATTCGTCATTGTCTATAATAGCGGTTCTCGACTGGTTTTCCTTCAGGGCCCAGATTTCACATTGCACATCAACTAGTTACCCAAAACTGAACCATAATTGATGGAGAAGTAAGCAAAAATGTATTCACTATCAAAACAGTGTTTGCACTTCCTTTAACATCAACAACAAAGGTATCGGGAATCAGGAACCTACTTCTATTTAAAAGTTGTTAAGACTACTTATTTGTTTTAACTTTGCAAAATAGATGAAAATAAAAGACAGATGCGCAACCAAGAGTAGAAGAAGTTTTAGAATTCTCAAATTTTAGAATAAAAGTGTGACTCTCGCTCTCTTCAAACTAGTCATTTGCAGTGTTCAAAACAGACTTCTGACCAATCTCTGGGTCACGAACCACCAGTTGAGAACCACTAATCTACAAGAACTAAAACTAGTTTTCTAGATCTTTTCTAAAGCCTCTTTACTTCATGTTCCTCTAGGGATAATTGCAAATTCTGGTGGAGACTCCATTCGGTGTTGTGTCCGAAACATGCCCCACTACAACGACGCACCCACAGGCTCACTCCCGAGTCTTCACAGCTTGACTGATCACAGGACATCTGACTCTTTATACTCCGAACCTCTTCCACCACCTCCCCTACCGAACCAGCCACCGATAGGCCCCGAATTTGACCCCAGCGGAAGCGAGGACAACGGGGACTCAGCCATCGACATCAAACCCGTCCACCGTTTCATCCCAGACTCATGGAAGAACTTCTTGAGGTCCAGCAGCGGAAGCAGCAAGTTGAAGTCAATGTTGGGCTCGAGCAGCAAGAACACGACCACTGACGGCGTTCGTTGTTCTCCGCCGCACTCGCCGTCGGTTCCCGGTTCCTACCGCGACCCATACGGCGGATCCGGAGGCAGTTATAACTCGCGTAAAGAGCGTGAAGCAATGCTGTTGGGCAACCCTGTGGAGTCCGTTGACGGCCGTACGGTGCACACTGCTTTGACATACGGCGAAAAAGTCGAGGAATACAACCAGCGCTACGCCTACATGAAGTCTTGGGCTGGACTTTTACGTATTCTTGGTTGCGTCGAGCTGCTTCTTGGAGCAGCGATTTTTGCATGCGTTTGTGCTTACATTCATAAAGACAATGAGTGGTTTAACATGTTTGGATACTCGCAGCCTGGTGGGGCTTACGGAGGAGGTTACGGAAGTTACGGAGGTTATGGAGGCGGTTATGGCAACGCCAACTACACCGGACCCAAGACGCCGTTCATTCTTGTGGTGGCGGGATTGGCGTGGATAGTGACTGTTATCATGCTTGTCTTGGGAATGACCATGTACTATCAAACTATACTTCTGGACTCAAATTGGTGGCCTTTAACGGAGTTCTTCATAAACCTGGCTCTTGCACTCTTGTTTTTGGCGGCTGGTTGCGTGTACGTAAATGACACTACTCGAGGTGGACTCTGCTACTATCAGTACTTCAATAATGGCATCAATGGCGCTTTCTGTCGCACTGAGGCTGGGCAGACGGCCGCTATAATTTTCCTGTTCTTCACCATGATCGTGTACTTGGTCGGAGCCATAGTGTGTCTAAAACTGTGGCGGCACGAAGCGGCTCGACGACTACGAGAACGTAATGGGCAGGAGGTGAGATTTTTATATTTTGGTTTCTATTTCTGTTGCATATTATATTCTAAAACAATGTCATTTTAGTATCAAGATGCTATTCTAGTTTTTTTATTCTTATTTTGAATTAGTTCTTATTGTGTTTTATTTTTTATTTTCATTTTCCTTAAAGTTTTAGTAAGTTTTCTTTGTGTTCTTGTCATTTTTATTAGTTTTATTTTATACGTCTGTATAGTTTTTACATTAAATTTTAAGATTTAATTTTGTACATCAAGTTAAACTAAATTCAAATTTGAAACTTTGCTTTGGCAACTAGCTGAAATTAAAAAAAAGTGTTTTATTTTATTATGAAAATAAATTATATTGTATTTTACTTCAGTTAAAGTTTATTTTACTTCAAGTAAAAATAATTATGTTTTAGATTTAGTTAACTATAATAATATTGTAAATAAAAACTAAACTAAACTAAATATTTTTCAGATGGGCTATAATTTTGTGACATTGTGCTCCATTTTTGCTTGTGTGAACAGAAAATTGCTGTAGTATTGTTATGTCGTACCTAGTTAATCATGATGTATCATTGCCAGTATCTTCATTTGTTATAATTAAATATAGTTGCAAAAATGAATACAACAATAATTGAACCAACTCCGCTTCTGCTTTATAGATGCAGCCAAGAGATTCTCCTTCTGCTGTGCATTTGGCAAGTATTTTGGCTCTGTCTGTTCTCATGTTTACCCATGGTGCATTGCCATCTGCTAAAAAATTTGGATGTATAGCATTTCTAGTTCAAATGAATAATTCTGGTTATGTAATATAAGTGTTTGTTGCCCAGATTAACAAGCAGACATTTCCATTGCATATTTCTCTACTAGTTTAATGTTTTGCATATAGCCTATAAGGGCATACTGGAAACCAATTTGGCGACTAATATAAAAAAATATAATTCATACATTTAAATGCATCTTAATCCAGAGTTATTCCTGAGGTAATTTACTTCATTCATTTGCCTTCATCCATGTTTGACAGCCAAACAAAGATGAGTTTACCTGTCCAGTGATGTTTAATATCCTATCAACAACCTTTGTAGTCCCATTTAGCCGCTTATTAGCCTTTTTCAAGACAAGTAAAAGGGCTATTACTGATGTAACCACAGACCTAATTTCAGACATTTAACCAAAAACCCACTGACTTCAGGATGGTGGAACCAGAAGTGCTAAAATGGTACTTGTTTCTGGGTTTTGGCCCACAAAAATACACCATTCCTCCAGCACTCTATTAATAATCAAAACTAAGGTGGGCGGGGCTTAGCGAAGGGTCAGTATGTGATATAGTCAGAGGATATTGCTGGTAATTTTGTATCCTTCTCTTCACTCTAATAGGTTGTTGATGGTTCAAGGGAGCCGATGGCAGTCTCCGTGCCGGTACAGCACACACACACTGCCGCCCCTGCCGTCGCCAAGCCCAAAGTTGTGAAAGGGCATATTCCAGCTGGACACGCTCCTAAACCTGTGATCATGCCGGACTACATCGCGTGAGTATTTGCTTCACCATCTAAAAAAAGAGAACTCATTTCGTGACCAAGAGATGCTTTTGCTCTCTGATTAAGCTCACCCCTGTGTTTTGTCTGTCCCTGCAGTAAATATCCAGCTATCCGAACAGACGAGCAGCGGGACCAGTATAAAGCCGTGTTTAATGACCAGTATTCTGAGTATAAAGAGCTGCATGTAGAAGTTCAAGCGATTCTGAAGAAGTTTGATGAAATGGATGTGATGATGCAGAATTTACCACAAAATCCCACCAGCCATATGGTCAGTCGAAATTTGCTATTACTGTACACTTTAGTCTGTCCTTTGTGACTTGTAAAAGAATTTCATCAAGCACAAATCCATGTCGCTGTATGTGTTTAGGAAAAACAAATTTTTATCCTAGTCTTTGCAGTATGTTTCCTAAATGTTCCTTGTTGGACACTAGAAGAACAGATGTTTTGATGCCTCTGAACTTAAGGGAATTTGCTATTTTTAAAGATACTGCAATTTATCAAATGTTTGAAAACAGTGTTAGCTTGATAAATGTCACAGGAATGACTTGAAGCAAAGGATTTGATCATATTTTGAATGTTATCAAAAAAATAACTTTTTTTGGTAACACTTTACAATAAGGTCACATTAGTTAACATGAACTAACTATCAAAAATACTTATAAAGCATTTATTAATTTTAGTTAATGTTAATTTCAACATTTACTAATACATTGCTTCCTAAATCTAGTTAAATCTGGTCTGATAAACCTGGCATTGCATGTTGTGAATATTGTTGGCTTTTGCTTTTGTTCTTTTTTCGAAAGTCGCTTTGGATAAAAGTGTCTGTTAAATGCATAAATGTAAATAATGTATTTCAGAAGAATAATTCTAGTATAATTCTAAAAACAAATCTCTCATTTTTGATCGTAGGAGCGTGATCGCATCAACAAAATCCTGCAGGAGTATCAGAGGAAGAAGATGGTGAGTTATTGGAATCCATTTGACTAGTAAACATACTGACCGCAAAACTGTATTGTGCATTATTTAATTAATGTTTTTATTTAATTTGATTATTATTATTATTTTACCTTCAAATAAATAATTGAACATGCCATTCTGTCACTTGCAGCATCATACATAAGCTACATGTGAAAACAATGTGATTTTGTTCATCATACGTTTGTTTTAGGGGTTTAATGTTACAAAATATTCCACATTCACAATCATAAGGGTCACGTCACTATTCTTACAGTTCAAACTAAACCATGCACAAGTGTACACATGACAAGCATAAATGTTGGCAATTTGATTATACATACATCTACAAAAAGTGTAGCACTCTCAGCTTAGTTTAACAGATATTACTATATTTAAATCCTTTTCCCAAGAAAATCAGCCTTGAGAATCAGTCTTGAGATTCTGTCTGGGCTTTACAGGCCAGTAGGCTTTGTCTGGCTGATTTATAACGTTGTGAAGCGTGAGTGGTGAAAGAAAGGAAGGAGGATGAGGAAGGGGGGAGGCTGATTTTCCCACAGGATTTGCCCCATTGTGTCTTTTCAAGAGGAGGAAATAACTGTAGCCACTCAGACCATCGGTGGCTCCTCTATAAAGACAGTTTGAGCCATATTTTGAGTGATAGCACAGGAGGTCGTGACACAGTCAAGACACACGGTTTGGTTTCTGTGATTTTCTAGAACCTCAGATGAGCTGCATTAAAGGAATAGTTCACCAAAAAATTTAAATAGGCTAAAAATGTGCTCACCCTCAGGCAACCAAAGATGTAGGTGAGTTTGTGTCTTCATCAGATTTGGAGAAATGTAGCATTGCATCAGTGTCTCATCAATGGATGCTCTGCAGTGAATGGGTGCCGTCAGAATGAGAGTCCAAACTAGGGATGCACCGATATGAGTCCAAACAGCTGATAAAAACATCACAATAATACACAAGTAATCCTCACCACTCCAGTCCATCAGTTCATGTCTTATAAAGCCAAAAGCTGCATGATTGTAAGAAACAAATCCATCATTATGACTTTTTAGCTTCAAACCATTGTTTCCAGCTAAAATACGAGTCCTCTATCCATAATACTGCTTTCTCCAAAGAAAAAGTTGTCTCATCTGAATCAGGATAGAAATCTGCACAAATCAAGCACCGTGAGAGGACAACAGGGGATGGACTTTTTCAATGGATGAAGCGTTATTATGGATCATTAACTTGTATTTTGGCAACGACTTGAAGTTAAAAACGTCTTAATGATGGATGTTTCTTATAAACAGCTTTTCACTTCACAAGACATTAACTGATGGACTGGAGTGGTGTGGATTATTGTGATGTTTTTATCAGCTGTTTGGACTCTCATTCTGACGGCACCCATTCACTGCAGAGCATCCATTGCTGAGACACTGATGCAATGCTACATTTCTTCAAATCTGTTCCTATGAAGAATCCAAGAAATTGAGTACATTTTCATTTTTGGATGAACTATTCCTTTAAAGACTAGTTGCTCAGATTGGTTGTGGAATGCAGTTTAACCTATTTTAATTACTGTGTATGTGGCCATTGAGAGGATATTTAGTTCTCCCGCTTCATGGTCTCATTTATGTCTATGATGGTGTTTTTGTCCCTAGGATCCTTCATTTTTGGAGAAGAAGGAAAGATGTGAGTACTTGAAGAACAAACTCTCGCACATCAAGCAGAGGATTCACGAGTACGACAAAGTCATGGGCTGGAACGATGGTTACGGCTGAAACGGGCAGCACTAGATTCAAACCTGCTGTGACGGTCCTTCATTTTCACGCCAGGACATCGTATTACACTGAACATGTGACCACTGTATCTGCAGAGCCATGCTGGTCTGGATTTATATTACAAACAGTAATCCAATGAGGGATCGATAACTTGCATGCTCTTAATGTACACGCTGAGTCTTGAGCACTGACTGAAAATACTTTTTTATTTTACATTTCATAATGCTGACTAAAAGTGCATGAATGTTTAAAGAAATACTCTGTGTTGTCTGTGTATGTATGCAGAACTGCTGTTTTTTTGTTTTTTTTACTGAGGTTTATTTTAATGATTGTATGCACTGTTCAATTCGTTTTTCTGCTACTGTGTATTTGATCCGAACAACAGCCTTGTCCTTATATATTCAGTGTTGTATATGCATTTTGACAAGTTGAACAGGTGATTTATATGCAAATAATGTAAAGAGTGAAAAGTCAAAGCATTTCAAGCTAATTTGTTGTAATTGAGAACATTTCTGAATAAAAAAAGACCGGCCAGGAGGCACTTCAGACACAACAGAGCAACTCTACAACCTCAAAAAAATGATGCATATATTTATGGGTTAAGAAATGCAATGTTTTCTTCAATTTGATTGGTTAAATTCACTTCTCTTCTAAGCATCCCTGTCTAGACTACTGAATCAGACTAGTTTTAGCATACTTCCATTTCCCTCTATGGCTGATTGCAACATAAACATAAAAAGATTACTTTCATTACCACTCTTTTAAAGAAAATATTTAATTCTCCATCTCTATCAATTCCATCAAACCTCCATTTCCACCACAAGCCACAGCATCCGTTTGCAAAGTGCAATTATATTGGAATAAAAAAAAATGTAATGCAAATATAACATTTGTGACATTTAAGCTACATGTTCTTTCTCTGTACAAACCTATGGCGGGTTCTCACTATGCAGGGAACCATTTTGGATTTCAAGATAAAGTTTGTAGAGTAGATTTTTGCGTAAGCAAGTTTAAAATTAAAATAATCTCTTCAGCATAGAAATGTCACCACACCTCTGTTAACCTGCGTGTTTCTTATCGCAGACTCACTCTTTTATCTGTAACGTGTCTGTATCCTGATACCAGACGAGCTCTCTTTATGGCTGTGTTTCAAAATCTACTATGCTGCCTATCTAGACAGCCGTTTTAGGTAGGCTACTGTATATAATAATAAGGCAGCGTTAGAAAAACCCATGGTATCAGTCTTGGGCACATGTCTAGCTGTCCAGTTAGGAAACTCGTTAGAATGTGAGACGCTGTGTGTGTGTGTGTGTGTGTGTGTGTGTGTGTGTGTGGGCGGGGTCTAATCATCTATAGGGCAGGTTGTTTGTCTCACCTGTCCTGAACAGTGACACAGTGAACGTCAGTGCGCGAGAGCAACTCCGCAAACAGGTGAGACTGAAACTACAAAATATAGAATATTATGTAATTAAAATTATAGTAGCCTATATAACAGCGCTTTATATCTGCGTTAATTAGATATAAGATCATTGACGCCGACTATCACTGAGATTTAGGCTACTTCAGAAACAACTCAATCGCGTTTAGTTCGTGAAGAGTCTCAGAATCATAGTGTATTTCAATTAAATATTAAAATAGTACTTTTTTTTACACCGTGTGTTTTACCCACTCATTGTCAGTTTTGTTTATTTTCTGCTCACTCGTAATGACGACTGACGTTTAGTTGATAATAGTGAAATTGGATAAAGTGCGTATGATTTATGTTAGTTTCATACTTGGTGTATTTAAAAATATTCCTGTTTTTGTGTCTTCAGAATGTCTTCGAGGCCGCACGAGAGTCCTCCGCCCTATGAGGATCATACAGAGGATGGATAGTAAGTGTTGAGTTTCACCTCAGTGTTTCTCTGGATTGTGTTACATGGGTTTAGGTTTATTTTTTTTTAAACCTCTTGTGCCTTTGTTTTTATAGTGAGGAATTGAACTGTAACTGTACATATTAAATAAATAAAGGGCTATGGGTGATTATTGGGCAGCTATGTTTGGTATCAGCCAATTATTTTTCTTTTTTTCTCGGTTGATTAGGCTGCTATTGGATTTTACCTTTTTCTTTTATATTTTCTTTTCCTGTGACAAGTTTCAAAAGTACTGGCAATGCACTGAAACTGATAGCTCATAACTGTATATCATGTATGTGTATATATATCATATTTTTATATATGTATGTTTTGCCTGTTTTTAAACGATATACCATTGACACTAGGACACGTTAAATGTGACCCTGAACCACAAAACTACTTTACATCATCTGATAGGTGAATAAATAAGCTTTCCATTGATGTATGGTTTGTTAGGATAGCACAATATTTGGCCGAGATACAACTATTTGAAAATCTGGAATCTGAGGGTGCAAAAAAAATCTAAATATTGAGAAAATCATCTTTAAAGTTGTCCTTAGCAATGCATATTACTAATCAAAAATTAAGTTTTGATATATTTACGGTAGGAAATTGACAAAATATCTTTATGGAACATGATCTTTACTTTAAAAAAAAAAAAATCAATAATTTTGACCCATTACAATGTATTGTTGGCTATTGCTACAAACATACCCCAGCGACTTAACACTGCTTTTGTGCTCCAGGGTCACAAATGAAATGATACAATACTATATTGAATATAAAAAAAGTCTGATAGTGCTTTTGAAATCTGGTATTGTTTGAAATGGAAAAACAAAGGTCTAAAAAAATGAAAAGAGCCAAAGAAGAAAAAAAATGATGATATTGATAAACTCATTGATATCTTGCATTAGTGGGAATATTTATGTAGTGTGAATGTTTCAAGTTAATATATATATATATATATAAGTTATATTGGTATAAGGCAAAATGTATTGTTGTGTCCTTAAAAGAATGTTTTATTTAATTGACCTCAACAATTTCTCTCCAAAAAAATAAACTAACAATGATACAGATATTCACTAATATCTTTCATCCCTACTTAAATCGTCTAAAAGATTTGAGCTTTAGTGTGATTTGTGTATATGTATGTTTGCATATAGTCAGAATGTGTTGTGTCCCTAAAATCGGTTTTCCCCATTTTCTCTCCAGTAATGTCGCCCCGCAGCCTGCGTATTCGTACTATCCTGACGATGAGTTCCAGCATTTCTACCGCTGGACGTCTCCGCCGGGCATCATAAAGATCATGTGTGTCATGTCGGTCATCTTCTGCGTGGGCATCTTCGTGTGCGTGGCCTCGACTCTGGCCTGGGACACGGATGCAGGAGCGGCTGGATTCGGTGGTTACGGAAGCTCATACGGAGGTTCTTACGGAGGCTCATACGGTGGCTACGGGGGATCCGGCTACGGAATGGGTGGATACGGAGGCTATGGTTACGGGATCCTCGGCTCTCAGAACGACCCCAGGCAGGGCAAGGGTTTCATGATCGCCATGGCCATCATCACCTTCATCGTCCTGCTCGTCATCTTCATCATGATCATCTCGCACCAGAAAGTGGCTCAGGGAAGGAAGTTCTACCTGGCCGTCATCATCATCAGCGCCATCATGGCTTTCCTCATGTTAGTTGCCACCATAGTCTATCTGGTGACGGTTTACCCAATGGCCCAATCGTCTGGATCGGTTCAGTTCAATCAGGTTTACGCCATGTGCGCCGCTTACCAGCAGCCTCAGATGACGGGTGGGTTCGTGAACCAGTATCTGTATCACTACTGCGTGGTGGATCCTCAGGAGGTGAGCACAGCGTTGTAAATCATGACCGATTTAAGTCGTTGTGCACTAATAGTGAGCTTATTCTGTCTTCATCCAGGCAATCGCTCTTGTTTTGGGCTTCATTGTCACCGCGGCCCTCGTCATCATCATGGTTTTTGCCATTAAAACCCGTCAAAGGATCAATAATCACGGGAAGGACAACATCCTGTGGCGCCGCGTGAAAGAAATGAATGATCAAAACTCGCCGCAGGATGTAGAGGATTGGGTGAGTATGATATTATTGTTCTTTGCATTGCTAGCTGAAGTACAGTCAAACCTAAATGTATTCAGACACCTTCAACATTTCTCACATTATCGCAGTTTATTCGGGTCGCTGTGATTTTTGCCAAGTAAGAGCAACATTACTGTCCAAAAATATAGACTTAACCCAATCCCTACCCCTAAACCTAACCCTACCCATAATTTATTCCTAAAATCAGTGTGAAATGATAGCTGATTAACAAGGGTGTGTAGAAGCACCTAACCCAGATCGTAAGCCTAAAACAGATATTTCCTGAAAAACTATCCCTCAATTAAGATTGGTTGATTGGAATGTTGTTCCAGGATAAACAAGGATGTTGATCCAGGAACATGTTGTACTTTACGTTCACCGTTTATTTGCTATAGTTTAGAAAATGGTTATAAAATATGACAAGAACTCGAGAGTTAAACTGTGTCCGAACAAATTCATAAAAACCTGAGGAAATATCAGGAATATTGTGATCTCCAGCCCTAGAAAAGTCATTGAAATTCTTCCAATTAGAATAAATGAATTATAAATAAATGGGTCAAAGACGAAAAAGCATAAAAACAATGTGTAATACTGCTTTAAATTGTTGTCGTTTCCCCCCCAAAAAATTAATTTAATTGCAATTTTGTTTTTGTTTTTCTGAGCAAAAAATAAATATCATACGTTTTTCCCTGATTTATAGAAGAGAGCCACTAAAATGTCATTCAGTGTAACAATCTTGTCAGGCATATTTACAACAAAAATCAATTTATGACATATTAAAAGACTAATTACTTTAACCCCAAATACTAATTAGTTGTAATTTTACATTTTTAAAAAGGTTTTGCCCATTTGTCAGTAAGAATTTTTTACTCATTGAAAACACAATAAAATGTAATATGCTCCTTTATTCTTTTATATATTTTAATGTGTACAAGTCAGAATAAGCATGTTGTTTGAATTTTTACATAAATATTGTGTTGCACTAAATGACAATGTAACATTATTTCAACCAAATTTTGACATTTTATTCTCCAAAAACTTATTTGAAACCTTACCTGACACTTTACTTGCATTTAATGTGCTTTCTAAATTCAAAGTGTTACTTGCTGTTTCTTTGTAATTATTTGTGAAATTTCTGAGTGAATTTTTATTTATTTTTTTCAAACTAAATCCTACACAAATGTTTTTCAGTATGGAAGATTTGTGTGAATATATATATATATATATAGGTCAAAAGATGCAGGAACGCTGAAAATCCGAGAAACTGAGGTCTCATTTGCTCTCCATGTAATGGTGCAGGAATGACAATTAAGATACTGGAGATTATTTGTGATTTTTAGTGGTCACTCAACTACAAGCCTTTGTCCTAGAACTTAGTCATATACTGTGACTTTAAAGGACTATAATTTGGTCTTTTCCACACAGAAGGTCTATTCTACTCAAGATGGAGCATATAGCTTAAATTCTACACCTGTGCTCATTTCTGTTGCCAAACAAAGAGTTATTTCACTTCCTCCAGCCTCCTCGCAGCATGAACCCATTTATCTCTCACAGGAATCGTCTGTCTGGTTTTGAATATAGGAGGCCTGTGTGGTTTTCTATAGCTTTTACCGTGCTGAAGGTGGAAAGACCTGTTTGTGTGTGTCTGTGTGTGTGTCTGTGTGTGTGTGTGTGTGTGTGCGTGTGTGTGCGTGCGTGTGTGTGTGTGCATGCATCTGTGTGTGTGTGTGTGTGCGTGTGTGCGTGTG